GAAATTATAAGATAATAAATATGTGTTATTTCAAGTCACTAAGTTTTGGAATAATGTGTTACACAGAACTGATAACCAATACAAAGAAGCACCATCACTATCATCCTCATTTTAGAAATACAGGCTTAGCCATATGCCCTTAATCATACAGATAGGAAATCAAAGCATTAAGACTGGTAGTCACACAGCCTGACTGACAGACCATGCGCTCACCCATTACACTGTGGTTGTTTGATGAAATAATCTATGAAGGGAACTTAGTTGTTTATAAGAATTAGCTATTTCCATTCTTCTGTACCATCTTATATACCACAGTCATGCATCTCCTAACACAATGGGGTTACATTCTGAGAAAAGTGTTATTTGGTGATTTTGCACCATTTGAATGTTGTAGAGTGTAATTATGCAAACCTAGATGACATAGCCTACACACAAAGTCTCCATGGACTAGCCTATGGGGAACACCATTGTACTTGTGGTCTGCTGTTGACACAAATGTTAAGTGACATATGATACTCACATTTTAGAGAGCAATACAGCAATATTTAGCAAAAGATACAAATCCTTCTACTCTGCAGTTCTGTCTAAGGTACCAACTTACAGGTGTATGAGCATTTAAGTACATAAATATTTATTTTGCCATTTAAAAAAGCATATAACTGGAAGCAACACAAATATCCACTAATAAGGGATTTGGTTGAGTTATGATTCATCATATAGTGAAAGACTATTTAGCCATTAAAGAGAATGAGGTAGATGCAAACCCTCTACAGATAGAAAATTCCTCAACAAAATATTAGCAAACTGAATTCAACAATCCATTGACAGGATGCTATAACACAATCAAGTGAGATTTCTTCCACGAGTGCAAGGATGGTTCAACATTGAAAATTAATTCACAAGGTACATTCCAATTAGCATAATGAAGGATAAAAAGCATATGTTCATCTCCATGGATGCAGAAAAAGCATTCTGACAAAATTCAATATTCATTGATAATAAAAATCATCAAAAAAGTGGGCATGAAGGGCATCTACCTCAATATAATAAAGGTCACATATGACAAATGCACAGCTCACATCATACTGAACAGTAAAAAGCAAAAATAAGTATCTGAAACTACATTAAACTTCTGCACAGCAAAGGAAATCATCAACTACATTAAACTTCTGCACAGCAAAGGAAATCATCAACAAAATGAAAGGGCAACCTACCGAATGGAAGAGAATATTGGGAAATCATATATCTTAATAAAAGTTAATATCCAAATATAAAATCAGCTTACCCAACTCAAAATGGGTAGAGGATCTGAGTTGACCTATTTCCAAAGAAGACAAACATATGACCAGCTATACGGCCGTCACTAATCACAAGGGAAATGCAAATTAAAACCACAATGAGCTATCTTATCTCATACCTGTTACAATTATTATCAGAGACCAGAAATAATGAGTGTGGGGATGTGGAGAAAAAGGAACCCTTGTACACTATTGGTGAGACCCATGGGAAAGAGTTATGGAGATTCCTCAAAAAAAGTAAAATTAGAATGAAATGCCATAAGTTCCAGCCATTCCACATCTAGATATTTATCCAAAGAAAACAAAAACACTAATATGAAAATACATATGCACCCCACCTCTTGATGTCATGTCAGTATTATTTATAACAGCCAAGATTTGAAAACAACTTAAATGTCCATCGATGGATGAATAAAGAAGTTGTGGAACATATCTGTGTGTGTATACATATATAATATATCTAAATAATGGAATATTATTCAGCCATTAAAAAGGAATAAACTCTTGCCATCTGTGACATCATAAGTAGACTTTGAGGTCATTATACTAAGTGAAATAAGTCAGATGGAGAAAGACAAATACTATATGATCTCACTTAAGTGTGTAATCCAATGCTTTTTTATTTTATTTTTATACAAGAACCAGGGTACAGGCCAGATATGTGGGAGAGTGAGAGGATTCATCCAGAGACAGAGCAGGGAACAGAACAGGCAGACTGACAAAATACATTGCTGAGGGGAGCAGCAGGTGAGACAGGAGATGTCTGCTCTTCATGTGGGTTGCTCCGAGGCCGGGGGTAGGGGATCGAACTGGCACTGAGGAGGCCACGGACACCCCAGTGCTGGGCTCAACTGCACCACCAGGGAGCCCCCCAATGCTTTATTTTTTTAAAGACTTATTTATTTATACAAGCATTGGGTACAGTCAGAAGCGTGGGAGGGTGAGAGAATTTACCAGAGCCAGAGCCGGGAGCAGAACAGGCAGACAGACGAAATACACTGCTGAGGGGAGCAGTGGGCGTGGCAGGAGAGGTCTGTGCGCCATGTAGGACCCTCGCAGGTGGCCGGGAATCGAACCAGCGCTGCAGAGGCCGCGGGCAGCCTCACAGCCCAGCACTCAACCGCTGCGCCACCAGGGGAGCCCCCCCCCAATGCCTTTTTAAAAGCTCAGAGATACAGAGGACAGATTGGTGGTTGCCAAAGCTAGGGGGTAGCGGGTAGGTGAGATGGGTAAAGGGGGTCAGCAAGCACAAATTTCCAGTTATTAAATAAGTCACAGGGCCTAGTTGTTTTTTTTTTAATGAAGTAGATTTATTTTGAGGGAAATAGATAAATCTTTACATGCTTCACTCAGATCCTCAAATGTTAACATCTAACATAACCATAGCTAACTGATTGAAAGTAGATAATTAACACTGATGAAATGTTACTCATGACCTTGAGAGGTTTTGACCTTGAGAGAAGTGTTGAGTCTGAGGAGAGAAAGCCAGGGACACTCTGGACAAGTGATTTCTGGTCTTACAGGTGACTTAAAACAGTGAACAATTCAGAACACCATTTATTTTTGTCATCCAATGATGAAATGGTGGGAGTGGAAACTTATTTTACTTACCTAATTTTCTTTCGTGTGTAACAAATTTACATGGATTCTTGAAAGACATAAATTCTAGAGATTTTTTTATCTCCACAAATATTTAATCTCTTCTTTACAAGATGCCACAAGTTCTACTGGACTTTGGGGAATCAAAGATAAGTAAAGATTCCTATTGTACCTGTGTGTTATCACTCTGTTTTATCTTTTGAGGGCTTAGCATATTTAATCCTTACAATAATATAGGGATTTAAGAACTATTGTCACACCTATTTGAACCAGGAAAAAAAAATGCAGTTTATAGAGCTTGCAAGGGAACCAAGCAATTCCTAGGCTTAACTTCCATGCCACACACTGCTATTGATTGTTCTCAAGGCTGGAAAAGCATATTGATATATAAAATTATGTCTACATATTATATAAAACATAACATATCCATATTATCATAGAAACAGCTTTCCAGGGCCTCCCCGGTGGCACAGTGGTTGAGCACTGGGCTGTGAAGCTGCCCGCAGCCTCTGCAGCGCCAGTTCGATCCCCGGCAGTCGGTGAGGGTCTCACATGGCACACAGACCTCTCCTGCCGCACCCACTGCTCCCCTCAGCAGTGTATTTCATCTGTCTGCCTGTTCTGTTCCCTGCTCTGGCTCTGGTGAATTCTCTCACCCTCCCGTTTTTCTGACTGTACCCAGTGCTTGTATAAATAAATAAATAAATTAAAAAAAAAAAAAAAAAGAAACAGCTTTCCAAGAAAGGCAAATATATAATGAACCTTGAGAACATGGGTACATTTAGAATAAAAGTTTGTCAACAGAAGTTTATCCATGTCACTAAATCCCTTTTCCAGAAGGGTTACTGTATCTGTTAAGAGTATGTCAAGGGCCTCTCTGGTGGCGCAAGGGGTTAAGCACCATACTATGAAGCAATCCACAGCCTCTGCAGCATAAGTTCGATCCCAGGGCAGCCAGGGAGCTACCCACATGGCAGACCTCTCCTGTCTCGCCCACTGCTCCCCTCAGCAGTGTATTTCATCAGTCTGCTTGTTCAGTTCCCCACTCTGTCTCTGGTGGATCCTCTCACACACACCCCTCCCAGCATCTCTGGTCTGTGCCCCAGCTCTAGTATGCATAAATAAATAGATCTTAAAAAAAAAAAAAAAAGGAGAATGTCAAGATACAAATGTGCATACCGGGAGTGATGAGTAGAGCCGGCCTGAGGTCTAGGATGAACGACCTCCTCAACCCAGGACATCAGTTCTGAAGTGCATAGATCCTTTCCTGCTTTCATCCACACACCAGCCTTGGTATTTTCTCAATAGGAATAAGGACTTTTTATATTGCTCAAAACTTGTTCTTTCAAACGCACACATTCCAATACCTGTGTCGTCTTAGTGAGCACTAACTTTTCATTGGGGCCTGGAGGTAGCGCTTCCAGGGCTGGTCAGAGCCTGGAAATGAGTCAGCTGTGACACTGGAGGACAGCCTCTGCTTTCTCCGAACATCTGCTGTCGGTCCTATGGTATTTGAGGTCAACAATCCCGCGCTCACTAGCAACAGGACTCTCCAAAGCTCCCAATTGATTAGTGGGAAGAACTGGCATCTTTCCAAGGGAAGAGCAGCACTACTGCACCCCAAAGGGGATCGGGGAGACCCTGGGTCTCTGTGGGTACCACTCCCTTGTAAAATTCACTTGGAAAGTGGACTTAAATTCAAGGTGTCTCAAAACTGGAGCCTCTCCTGAGAACATTCGAGAAGGCAACTGGAAAACGCTTTCCCTAGGAGTGCAGGTGGGGAGTCCCAGCAGCTGGGAGCTGACAGGACAGTCTTTGGGGGAGAGGTCCTTGGTTGGACACCCCTTCCAGCGCCTGTGAGCGCTTGTCCTGGATCCCACAGTCGTGTCCCCTCGGCACAGGGGAGGGGGACGAGGAACACAGGCGCCCCGGCCTCTCACCTACCCCATTCCCGCCGTGGTCCTTTGTGGGGCCCTGAGGCTGCCGGGCGCGGAGCCTCAGAACCAGGCGGGCCCCGCTCCTCGCCCCGCGGAGAGGGCGAAGGCCGAAGCGGCCTCGCGCAGCTTTAACATGTGTTGGGGCCGCAGGGTGGGGACGCGGAGCCGAGGGGGAGGGTTTACATCTCAGCAAAGTTCCCGGATGGTCGCAGCCTCCCGGTCCTGAGAGCTTTTCCTGCCCGGCCGGCTCAGCCCTTCGGATCAGGGAGAAGTTTCCCAGAAAAAAATGCCCGGCGCGCCGCGGGGCCCTGGACGCCGCCCGGAGCCTTCGCGCGGTAAGGAGCCCGCCCCGCCGCCGCCGGGGGTCCCGGGTCCCGGGGCAGCGCCGGCGGCGACCCCCATGGCCGCCGGGGGCTCTGGGGAGGGGCTGGCTCGACGGAGGGACTCGGAGGCGCCGCTCGGCACCGGGTGGGCGCGGGGCGGGCGGCGCGGCGCGGGCGGCGGGGACGTCGGGGCGCCGGCTGCGGGCGGTGGGCGCGGGCGCGCGGCCTCGGGAGGGGCGCGACTCGTGGCCCGGCCGCCCGCGCGCCCTGCCCGCCCGCGCGCCCTGCCCGCCCGGCCGCCGGCCAGCGGGGACGGGGGCTGCGGAACGCCGGGCTCCGAGCGCGGACGCTCCCCGGGCCGGGCGCGATCCTGCGCTCGGGGCTCGGGACCCGCTCCCCGGGTGACCCGCGCGGCCAGGGACCTCGCGGGGATGCGCTGGGGCCGCCGCTCCGGCGGATGGGGACTTTGGGGTATCCCTGGGGTCCGCTCATGCCCTGGAACCGCCACGCCTTGCTCGCCGGGGGGATCGTGCGGACTCCGTCCCTGGGCTTCCCAAATAACTTCCCGCCGGGTCCCCCACCCTGCGGCTCGAGACGCGGTCGGTGTAGACGCGCGCTTCGATGTGCGCGTTTGACCTTAAAGGCACTTCCAGCTCCAGTCAGCGCCCCCACCCCCCGACCCTCGCCTCTCCCCTCCCGAATTCTCCGGACAGCTTCCCTGCAGTCTCGCTTCCCGCCCCCACCTTTATTATTAATGTATTTTTCTTAAAAGAAAGAACAGTTAAAGAAAGTTCCGTGCGTAAGAGAAAACAGCTGGCCTAGTCGGAGTGACCCAAATCGTCAACTGGTGGGTGGTTAGTTAGACTTTGGACGCTTGGAGATTAACAAAGGGTGTGTCTATGAGAGCATGGTTAGATAGATCTTCTGGTCCTGCTTAATTCGGAGGAATATTTCTGGCCCCAGGTCCCCGGGAAGCCTCTCCAGTTATCAGCAGTGACTGGGTGAACTTGGTCCCTTTCTCTGAAGTTGTCAGCAGTGACTGGGTGAACTTGGTCCCGTTCTCTGAAAATTGCCTGTCACTATTGTTCCCTAGATCGTCATTAGACCCTACACCCCAGTTGCTAGCGGGCGGGTAATCCCAGACTCTCTGCGGAGCCCCCTGGATGGAGTCCCGCCCTGGGTAGGGTTGCGTTTTCCAGTTTCCCAAAGCATCTTAAAAGCAAGTCATTGATATTTTCTATAATGGATAAACTAACTCAATGAATTTTCGATTTCAGTTTATGTAACTGCCAGGGCCTCTTTACAGCCCTGGGGACACTCTTGTTCTGCGTGATTGCCTGCCTGCCATCCCCACAAGGTTGAGTTTCTCGAGGACCAAATCTCTGGCCACCTGTTGGAGCCCATTACCTGTTGAAGGAAGTGTGTAAACTAGAATCTGCAGATATTAACACGTTTTAGTAAGATCACCCTCTTAGGTAGGGCTTACCCAAGTTCTGTCATAACTTTGGTTCTTTGAGAAGCAAATGCACTCCTTTTGGTTTGTATGAGGTAGAGTGGAGATTTGTTAGCAGGGTAAGATCAGATTCAGAAACAGAGACCACAAGACTAATTCCTGCTAGAGAATTTCACACCTTCTTTCATTTGTTTGTTAATTTCACAAGTTAAGTGTCTGTTACATGTTCAGCCAGTTTCTGATGCCCTTAGGCAAGCCTCACTGATCTCATCCAAAAGATGGGGGTTAGTAACCTTTGCTCTTCCTCTATTATAGGGTGTGAGGATCAAGTGGGATAATGGAGTGTGAAACAGGAAAAACAAAAGAAACCAAATCAGCACTAGGCATTAAGAGCTCCCCCTAACCCCCATGCAGTGTGTAGCACAAGAACAAGAGTGATACAGGAGGGAGAGCAAAGAGAAGGTGTTTGCCCCATCTTTTAAACTTACTGCCTCCGGTGGTCTGGCTAGGGACAGACCCCCTTTTGTGGGAAGTATTTGTTACTGGAACTGCATTACTGTTTGATATTTCAGGGTATTTCTAAATATGGTTGTAATTTCAAGAACATATATGTTTTCTAAACACACAAATAGAAGTACCTTTTATTTGTTGATATAACCCTTTCATTTTCAGCATCTGCTACTTGGTATTCTGTCTCCTTGCTAGGTCTTCTTGAAACCTGGCATCCAGTTATACCTACCAAATTCCTAATGATTTCCATACAGAGGTCTTTATGCTGCTGGATGCCAGCAACCCGTAATTTTGCCACAGTACTGGAAGGCTTGATAGTCTTATGTTTTGTGAATAGCCATGTCCCACAGATGTGAAGAAGGGCACAGTTGCAATCAAGCCAGAGGCTCATTCAACATTAAAGGATCTTGTGGGTCTTTGTGTGCCCGCTGCTAGGGGTAGAGGGTGAGACCTAGCTCAGAAGGTACTGGAGTCAGCCCCCGAAACGCTTTCCTTTTGGTAGAGATAAGGCAAGTTTCAAATAGCAGGAAGGCAGCATGTGGAAATTAAGGGGTGTTTTTGTTGTTGTTATTTTAAAGGTACAGATGAAACAGGGAATGTAGAGGTAAGTGAAATTGTTCTCAGCAGAAGGAAGTCAGTCCTTCATTTGTTTGTCTGTTTAACTAATATTTATTAAGTTTCTGTTGCGTGCCAGGCCAGAAAGATTAATGGGTACATGCACAGTGCCTTCCACCTTCTCTGCTCCGGTCGAGGAATTATTCAGTTTCCACCTCCGGGTGACAAATAAATACTTCCTCCTTGGCCTCATTGTATTCCCTCCCTTTACTTTTTTCAATTGTTCCTCACCCTGTAGGGATTACAGCCAGGTCAAAACAATTAACTCTGCATATTGTATACTTTTGAATAACAAGGAGTAAGTGCTCCAAAGTCCCCAGAATGCCTTCAGTGGGTTGAGTAATGCTATTCTGCAAAAGGCGCTTTGACTAGTGTTGGTTGATTCTCAGCTATGGGCGTGACCAGACGCTTATAAAGACTTGATTTTGTAAATCTGGTGAGGCCCAGGAATCTAGTTTGTGAAAGACCCCGTGGTGCTGCAGGCTGCCTCCACATGCAGATTCCCCTAAAAGTTAGAGCGTGAGCCAACAAGTGCCACAGATCTGGCTTCCAGTTCCACCTGTTTCTTTCCCTTTAAAATGAGAGTGGCTACCTCTTCCTACCAGGGTGTTAAAGGGGTCAGATGAAGTCTTGGGTGTGACCACTTGGCAGATGATCAGGACAGTGCTGCCCCTTGATATTTGTGGGCAGCTTTTGTTATAACCGCTATCATCACCAGTGTTTGTGTGTACAGCACATTGTCAATATTCCTTTTCCCATATGTAAATACAAAAAGAGGATAAAGGTAAGAACTGCCTCTTATATAAATCAACATATAGTGATCTCTTGGTTCTCTGCAGTTAATTGTGTTTCATACCAGTCACCTCATCTATTCTCTTGAAAGCCAAGGAGGAATCTCACTAAAAAGCATCTTAGAATCCAGCAACTGTGAGCCTATGGAATCTGTGAACCAGGCCCAGCTTATGCTGCTGAGGTATCAGGGTAGATAAAGGGTGGGAAAGTGCGAAGACAAGATGTGCTACTTTCCTGGCCCTTTGGTACGAGGAAGCACCGTGGTAACATGTCATGGCAGTGCCACCCTGGCCTCACCTGTATATATGAGGGTTACAGTGGGTTCCAGTGGCTGCCCCATGCCAAGCTGTCTTGGTCACAGGAATGGAGTGCCTACTAGAGAGTTTCACGCCTTCTTTCATTTGTTTGTTTAGTTCACAAGTTAAGTGTCTATTATGTGTTCAACCACTTTCTGATGGTTGATCAACTAAGCCCATGGGTAGAGCAGAGAGAAGGGCACCCCAGAACCCCCAAACCTGCCTGCTGCCCTAAATAGGTTCTGTCATCCGCCGCATCAAGACAAAACATATAAGACCTTTAATGGAAAGGAACTTTAATGCAATTAGTGAACAATACAGAAAAGACAAAGAATATAGTTTCTAAATCAAGCACCCAAAGTTATCCGTCCCCTCGTGGGTAAAAGTCCATCCAAATGGGATTGGCCCAGAGCAAGGCCCCAAAACCTGCCCCAAGTCTAAAACATCTTCCAGTGGGGACCCACAGAAAAGGATCAGAAACAACCAGACAAGTCTGGAGGGAAAAGAGCAAAATCAAAAGCAAGACAAAAACCGCCTTTGTCACCTCCCCACAGATCTCACCCACATCTGTGTCACCCAGTCCACGACCAAAAGGCAAGTATAGTTTCTTCACGTGTCTCTCTGCGCCATGTGCCTCCTCCAGGTCTCCTTCTTGCTCTCTACCCTGCTTCCTTCCATCCTCAGTCTCCTCTGCAGCTTCTTCTCTCCCTGCTCAGCTCCACCCTCCCTTGGGTGGCACAGGGAATCTGAACCTCCCCTTTTCCTGGGCACCACCCTATTATAGAGTGCCTCTGCTTTTAACCCTTTACTTCACCTTCAGCCCTGTTTTATGCTACTTTTCACATACTGGACCCAGCTAAACTATTCTTTTGCATTTCCACCAGTGTACCATTACATGGCCATTTCTCTCCACATGCTTCTTTTCTTCGCTTGTATGTTGAACCCTGTTGAAATTTCAAATTTGCCCCATATACTGTTGAGAAGAAAAGTAATAGACTTCACTAATATAAAAGAATACAGCTGAAATAAACAGTAGTGTTCACCTACAAATTTCAGATTTAATAGCTTTGGCAAACCTGGTTCACATTGTAAAAGCGTGATTCTTAAAAAGAGCCAAAAAGGAGCCATCAGCTGACTCCTCCCTCTTCCAAATTCTGGACCTTTGGTTGGGCCTCACTTGTCACTTGGAATCCATTTTATTTTGTATTGTGGTCACTTTTATGTGTCTCTTCTCCCTCACTAGGTTGTTAACTCTTTTAAGGCAATAAGTTTTTTTTTTTTAAATCATTTTCATTTTTCCTCAAAATAATAGTTTCCTGGATAGTAGGTTTTTCATTATTATTTGT